GGACAATTTTAATGCAAACGAAGGCTAAAGAACACAGAATTTAAAAAATTTTCGGGTGGAAAATTATACCAATCAAACACACTTAATTAACAATTCCATGTAAAATAATTTTTAGGCAATTACTTTCCCTGAAATTCATTTTCTTTCCACCCATTTTACACCCTTACAATCAAACGGATCCTAAAGCCTTTGGCTGCTCAACAAGTTATAGTTCTCCTTTGCAAAACGAAATTTGAAATATATATGCTGTCCATATCTTGGTATAGTATAGTTAAACCCATATCGAAACCAACTCAATTAAAGTTAGTTAAACAGTTGCCATGCCATAATTGTGGACTCGGTAGGCATAGGGGACGGTCTATCGACCAAATGTATTGAAAAATATGAAGTTTTAAAGCAAAACTGAAGACAAAAGACAAATTCTCTTTCAATTTTGTTAGCTTATTACTAATAAATTTTAATTATAAATTATTATTTATATTTCACAAACAATTTAACATTTAAATTCGGGCTCACATTAATGGAAAATATTATTTTTTTCAATTATGTTTTAGCTTTTAATCATATTCAATTTAAAATAAAAATAAATGAAAAATGACTTGTTGGAATGACCTTATCTGGCTAGCAATATTGTTGGGTACATGGGCCAGTCTACACGAAATTTAAGCGTACTCCGCAGTATTGTCCGTTTTACGTGGCAAAAGACAATGCTAATATCATATTGTTAATAGAGGAAATTAGATTATATAATCTAAATATAAGGTCGAAAAGTAATTACAAAGTTCTTTGCATTAATTTTAGCTAGTAAACAAAATAAACCTCAATGAACATTTGGAAAGGATTCATGAGTCAAAGCTTGTAACTGGTTAGGGCTTTGATAGGAGTGTCTTGGCTTGTATTGTACTTTTAGATTTACTTTTTAGGTCATGTTTGGAATTCATTTTTTCAAAAACTCATTTTTAAACACACATTATCTCGTAAAATAATTTTACACATAAAATCAAAACTTTTCCTTATTTTTTAACCACACATTCTAAAAAAAAAAAAAAAGATCCCTCTAATAGGGGCTTAATTTGTTTACTATTATTTATTCATATTTCTAGTGTTTCATTTGCCAATTTTATGCTGGTATGTGGAAAAGTTAATGAAAAGAGTGTTTATACTTGTTCTAAAATTGATGCATTTGGTAACCAAACAAATGTCGATTTTTATCATGTCGAATATGATGATTGTTTCGTGTGTAAATATTACATACAATTTGTTCTGTCGCTTGCTTCTAATGAGAGAACTACGATGATCCCCTAGCATTTTTTAACATTTGCTTTATTAATACTGAAAGTTACGCAGATCGACCCTAACAATACATAGAGGGGATGAATAGGTATATTATGCGGAATTAAAAATATTTTACAAATTAAACAGTAACAAGTCACCTTTAATTTTTCTCTAAATAATTAAACATGCAAGTCATTTTAGTCCTAAATTTGAATATCGCAATTTATATGATTAATCAATAAACAATAACGAAAGCAGTAAATCAATACCAGGATGATCACGGAGAAACCCAATTGGAAAAAACTCCGAGCACTTTGCCAGGAAAACCACTATAAACAATTCAAACAACTTACAGTCTATTAGACTAGATGAACTGTACTATCTGATCACTCGACTGCACTCCTTACAGCTCTCCCTGGATCCCTGCTCCCCTGCAGTACTCCTAGTTTTGTGGAATCATCTATTTCCCGTTGATCAACGAAGAACACTGCGTTCTTCATTGACTGTAACTCCAGTCCGACTCCCTCAATCTTCATAACTCTGATAAGATGTAGAGGAAATACAGTTTGATATATGGATTATAGAAACGATGTTTTTCTCACCAAAACAATCAAAGTAGATGAAAGTTGAAAAACAAAATCGAATGAATCTCTCATAGATGTAGCTCTCTTAATATTTGATAAGTGTATTTTCTACA